TCTTCTGTTTATTCACACAAATTTCAGAAAAAGAGAAGGTCACAGGTGACATCTACAGCACTGAGGCTCGAGGGCTCAGAATGCTGATGGAGAGAATTACGATTTTCAGAACATATTGTTTTAGTTTTATTTAATTTCTTTTTATTAAAAAAAAAAAAATTAAGCAAATTTCACAACTTATTCCCAAGTTAACAGGACAGGCAGAAACTGCATTTTATAAAACAAAGAACACCTTGTGCAATATATCTTTGTCATTGAGTGTTAGAAAAAGAATTCTTGCTTGCTTCATACATCTAGTTTTAACATATCGCTGTGAATCCTGGACAATCGGTAGGCAGGCCAAACAATTTCTTGAGATCTCAGAAATGTGGTTTTACAGAAGAATGCTTAGAATACCTTGAACAGCCAAAAAGAGCAACCAAGAGGTTTTGAATGAGGCGGAAACCCAAAAACAACTTATCACAGACATCAGAAGAAGACAGTCATTATTTTTTGGCCAAATTATGAGAAGAGGGAAAATGGAACATGTTGTGACCTCTGGAAAAAATCTGTGAAAGAAGGGATAAAATCTTGTCTTGTTGCATGGAAATGGAAGTGTTTCAGCACACGAACTGACACATGCTGCATTAGATCGCGGATTGTGGAGAGACATGATCGCTTACGCCAGTTAGTAAGGCACCTGATGGTGAAGATGATTCACAAATTGGTTCATAGCTGACGTCAACACACTTCCACTGTTTAGTAAATAGAAATACAACATAATTTTAGTATTTCATCAATGTTTAATCATTACTAACCCAGACACATAATTGTGTTTGTTTAGTAAGCAAAGCGCATAGGTCATTTCAGCATTTCTTGATTGTTTAATCATTAGAAGCAGAGACACAACCTGATTATTTCTTGATTGTTTAGTCAACAAAGCTCAAAGGCAATCCAAGTATTTCTTTTGTGTTTAGTCACACAGTTCACTAAAGAGCAACAGTTGAGACGGTTCGGCCATCTTGTGACTATGCCCTGGTACCAGCTGTCACAGAGAGACACGCTGAAGAAATATAATGGGGACTAAGTAAGGGTAAGGCCACGCAGAAGATGGAACGGAGGCTTCAAGAACAACCTTAAGGAAATAAAGACCGACTCACACAACACATTGGGAAAAACCACACAGAAGATCCTTACATCTCTTCCCTACACTGTGATGAAGCACAAGGGGAGGAAGTGAAGAAAAGAAGAAGTTTAGTCATTAGATGCTGAGATAAAATTTTATTCATTCTTAGTTTTTTAATGCACACAACATCAATCTTATCTGAGTATTTCTTCATTGTTTAGTCATTAGATCTGAGATACTACTTTATTATTTTTTTTTTGTTTAACACACAAGAAACAAACCTAATCTAAGTTTTTCTTCTTTGATTAGTTATTAGATCTGACCCCTGTGTGGGTTCCAGGGCCCTGTTAAAGGGAAAACAAGAATAGACCCCCTGCCTACCCAAAAGCATGTCGTAGGAGCCGACTAGCTGGGAGCATCCTTTAAAGTCGGAATGCATCTGTTTGAGAGGCAAAGAACAACCAACAGTTTGCACACAAATGTGTCAGATCAGTCAAACGGATGCACACGCAACACTCCGGTTCTGGAACAGGACTGCAGTCCAGAAGTGGACAAACAACCAGAACTTTCCACCAGAGTTTACAACTGGTGAACGCAAAGAAGAAGAAGAAGAAGACAGATTAGATCTAAGATACAACCTTATTTTCTTGTTTGTTTAACACACAAGACACCAACCTAATCTGATTATTTCTTTATTGTTTAGTCATTAGATCTGAGATACAACCTTATTATTTCTTGTTTGTTTAACACCCAAGACACCAACATAATCTAAGTATTTCTTCATTGTTTAGTCATTAGATGCTGAAAAATCACCCACCCCCCTCCCCCCAAGTGTTTAACGTCATCATCATCATGTAGCAGGTTCTTTGCAGAACGTCGCTCTCATCGCAGTCTGCCTGTAAGAAACTCGGTCTCTCGCCAGTTCTCCCACCTCATGCACTTTCACATTCAAGGAGTCACCTATATCATGTCCCATCTTCGTGTTGGTCGGCCCCTGCCCCTCCTTCCTGGTACCATGCCTTCTGCTATAATTTTTTCCAATCCGTCGTGGCGCTTGATATGACCAAAAAATTTCAGCTTTCGAGAAAGGATGCTGTTTATTAGCCAATCTTCCTTGATGTTCAGATCTTTTAAGATGTCAATTATCCAGAGGATCTATCAATTACCCAGAGAATCTATAAATTACCCAGAGAATCTATAAATTACCCAGAAAATCTATGCATGATTTGGGAAAGTTAAAAAAAAAAAAACACAGACACACACACAAAACCTGAGATTTGGAAATCATTACGGGCAGCTGGATATTTTGTTGCACAGGTTAAATTTCAAAATTAGAAAATCGATCTACAAAAAAGAATATTTATAACATGTTTGATTCTAGTAAAAACATTTCTGAATCAATGCTTGTGATAGGGAGTTGGTGTACAGTCCTGAGATTTCTCATCTATTACATAAAACTAGAGAATTTATGACATAATTGCAGTGAATCTTTACATACACACAAATGCAGGTCACAACAAAGTGTTCCGTGAGAGAGGGACAGGGGTATGCATGCTTGAATAGTTAGTGCAAACTGGCAAACCAGGCCTCCAGATCTACACAAAGCATTCTCAATACAGTCTACAAATACTATCTTAATAGTTTTTCAGTCTATTTATCTTTAAAAAAAAGTATAAAAGATTATATAAATGTGTTTTATGAGATACCCTATCTTGAACCATATTATCAATGTATCTGTCATGCCAGGTTTCAGTCACGTGTTTTGAACATGCCGTTTCAGCACAACTCTTGCTTGCTGAAATCTTAGCGACCCCGTGTGGGTCTGGAGCCTAATGTGGGGACAAAAAAGACTATATCCGCTGCCCCCGGCCCTCCCCCCACGCCCCACAACAACCATGTCATAAAAGTCTAAAAATTAGAGGTGCATCCGTTGAAGTTGGAGTGCATTTGCCTTAGAGGTGAGGAGCCAACAATCTGCCAACAAATAAGCCAGATCTGTCAAATGGATGTGCACAGTAAATTCAAGCACTAAAGAAAGAATAAAGTCTAGACATGGACCAAGACTTTCCACTGGAGTTTCCAAGATCAGATGTTGTTTATGAACCAATTCTCCATGATGTTTAGCTTTTTTTAGGATGTCAGTATATCTTTTCTTCTTGGTCCATAGTATTCTAAGAATATTTCTATAGCATTTCAACTCAAAAGTCCCTGTTTTCTTCCCTAATGACTGCAAGATAGTTCACAACTCACATCCGTATGTTGCTACAGAAAAGATGCATGTTCTCAAAATGTTAACTTTTATTTCCTTAAAAGTAAAAAAAGTAAAGGACCCTTTTCCACGCCTTTAGGCATATAGGGCATATAGGGCTAGACCTATATTTTTATAGACCAACGGCACAAGATGGGTGATGTGGTCAGGATCACGCCGGCCGCCTCTACTTTCCGGGATTGCACCCGGTACCCACTCAAGGTTGGGTCGACCTGGGAGCCAAGGTCATTTTTGAAGAAAAGTCCGTCTCCACCAGGGAGCGAACCCACGACCTTCCGATCCGCGGCGCGCGTCTAGCTGCTCTGCCACGGCGACTCCCTTTTATTTCCTTGCTGGTGCTTAATTAACCAGACTTTTAATGTTGTTCAATCTTTGCATTGCTATTGCTATCCTCCTTTTGACATCTGTCACACAGCCTCAACTACTCTTTGTTATGGAGACTGGAGTTCAAACCTAATGACATTTTTAATATCTCCATCATCTGTTATTTAAACAAATAAAACAGAAACTTAAAAAAAAAATATTAAAAAAATATTTATTACTTTTTAGGGTGGTAGACAGGCAGGGTCGTGTGACTGAGGATTCAGAGAGCAGGGCTGGTGCTGTCGCCATGGACTGTGCAGGTAAGGATGTTTACACCCCCCCCCCCTTTTTTTTTCCCTGACAGAAAAAAACTCCATCACCTTACCGGGGGTCAAAGCTGGGTCTCCCACATGGCAGCCAGGTGCTGTAACCTATCAGCCAGTTACAAAATGCAGTTTTGTCTGTGCACATTACGCTAGAAGTGAACAAACTAAACTCTGTCTGCTACATAAGTCTGTGACTACTGTAACACAAATACCATGCAGACAACAAAACTAAGCCAGAACAATGGATGTGTCGTATAGGATGAACTTACTGGGTGAAGGTCTGAGTCACTCCTCTTCACTGATGATTCCTCCTGAGTTCTGTAAACATCCTGGAAGTGTAGAGTATAGAATAGTAACTCATGTGTCTTCTTTGTACAATGCTAAAATGGAGACGGAGCACTTATCTTAATTCAACATAACAATGTTGCAGCGTACTGTGTGATTCATGGTATAGTACATGTTGATTAACTCTTTGAGTCCCAGAGGGTTTAGCATCACAGGCCCAAGAGGTAGTCAAAAGAGACTAAAATCGGCGCATCATGCGTTCATTGGGCTTCTAGGCAGTAACCTATGAACGTATGATGCGTTCCTTGGGACTCAAAGAGTTAACCTGGGAAGAATATAACTAGAAGGGCTTTAAACTGCAACCCACAAGGGCAAAGAAATAAAAGCAGACTAAATAAAAAATAAAAAAAACATCAAGAAGGAAACTAGAGAGTGGAGTTAAAAGATGGTGAAGACGTGGGGTGAACTTCATGTGACAGCAATGGATAGGATGACTTGTCCTGAGTTGGTTTGAGGGCCTATGCTTCATTGAGGAAAACAGAAAAAGAAGAAGAAAAGACATTGTTATAAGGGATCCATAGTAGCAAAGAGCCAGGCACTTACCTGCCAGCCTGAAGGTCTCAGGTTCAAATCTGTATCGATATATATTTTATTTCTCCAAATCACTTTGGCTGCCAGGTTGTCCCACATTTGGGCTGCCAGGTTGTCCCACACTTTGGCTGCCAGGTTGTCCCACACTTTGGCTGCCAGGTTGTCCCACACTTTGGCTGCCAGTTTGTCCCACACTTAGGCTGCCAGGTTGTCCCACACTTTGGCTGCCAGGTTGTCCCACACTTTGGCTGCCAGGTTGTCCCACACTTTGGCTGCCAGGTTGTCCCACACTTTGGCTGCCAGGTTGTCCCACACTTTGGCTGCCAGGTTGTCCCACACTTTGGCTGCCAGGTTGTCCCACACTTTGGCTGCCAGGTTGTCCCACACTTTGGCTGCCAGGTTGTCCCACATCTGGGCTGCCAGGTTGTCCCACACTTTGGCTGCCAGGTTGTCCCACACTTTGGCTGCCAGGTTGTCCCACACTTTGGCTGCCAAGTTGTCCCACAAATGGGCTGACAGGTTATAACACATTTGGGCTGCTAGGTTGTCCTACATCTGGGCTGCCAAGTTGTCCCACATCTGGGCTGCCAAGTTGTCCCACATCTGGGCTGCCAGATAGTCCCACACCTTGGCTGCCAGGTTGTTCCACCCTTTGGCTGCCAGGTTGTCCCACATTTGGGCTGCCAGGTTGTCCCACACCTGGGCTGCCAGGTTGTCCCACACCTTTGCTGCCAGGTTGCCCCACACTTTGGCTGCCAGGTTGTCCCACACCTTGGCTGCCAGGTTGTCCCAGTCTAAAATGTGTACCAGGTAATGTCAAGGGAGGTAAAGATGGCATTCGCTTATGTTAGATTATCTATATCTGCAATGTTGTCTCTAGTAGCAGATGTGATGTTGGCCATGTCACCTACCCAATGCTGATAAGCTGATACAAACTGAGTCTAACATCACATGCCAGGTGCACAACTGACTTTTTTTGGTTCAAATTTCTATCGCGTCTGTGTCACCTAGAATGTGACTGTTGCCAGTATATCGACAAGATGGCGTTTTAGTCTCTTTTAATAACTCCCTTCCATCTCTTCTTATCTTTCTCTTCTTCCCTCCAATATCACCTCCTTCTTCCTCTTCTTCCAATACTTCTTCCTTCCCTTTTTTTTTTCATTCTTCCAGCTACTGCTTCTTCTTTTTATTCCATTGCTTCTCCTTTTTCTTCCTCGTCCTCTTCTTCTGTAATCATTTTCAGTTGTGTGATTATTTAAGCAAAGGTCACGAAGGTGTACTCTGAGTTCAACACATTCTTTTGTGAGCTTAAAGATAATGGTAGAGTTAAGTTGATTCAATAACCAACATCACAACACTCGGGGCATTCTCATAAGCACTCCGTCCCCATCTTCAGCAGCCAGTGCAGAGTTCCAATTCCAATGGTGAGAGTAGCATTCTGATTATATGTCCATCTTGCCTTTTCTTTTAACGTTGAGCATTGCCCAGATCGCTGCATCACTCTCACCAGACTGTGATGATCAATTTGCTCCTGCGAATCGTACATGTTCTCCCACAAAGCACTAACCACGCACTGTTTTAACACGCATCACTATTCCATCAAGTTGTACACAACCAGCCAGTCTGTCTACCGGTTCATTTTCCAACACACCGGCATGCCCTGAAGAAAAGAACCAGACAATACTCCTCATCCGTGACCTCTGAAGCAAAGCTTGCCACTCTGTACGAAGCAAGCCTGTCCTCACCTTCCTCAACATGCTTTCATTTACCAGGGGGTGGTGTTTAGTGTGGGGTAGATAAGGTTTACATTGAATGGGGGAATGGCATTTAGTGTTTCTGATCTTAACTGGTAGTTTACATTTAGTGTTTCTGATCTTAACTGGTAGTTTACATTTAGTGGATGATGGTGTTTAGTGTGGGGTAGATAAGGTTTACATTGAATGGCAGAATGGCATTTAGTGTGTGTGATCTTAACTGGGAGTTTACATTTAGTGGATGATAGTGTTAAGTACCGAATGTTCAGGGATTACATTTAGTGGATGATGGTGTTTAGTACCAAATGATCAGGGATTACATTTAGTGGATGATGGTGTTTAGTACCAAATGATCAGAGATTACATTTAGTTGATGATGGTGTTTAGTACCGAATGATCAGGGATTACATTTAGTGGATGATGGTATTTAGTACCGAATGATCAGGGATTACATTTAGTGGATGATGGTGTTAAGTACCGAATGATCAGGGATTACATTTAGTGGATGATGGTGTTTAGTACCAAATGATCAGGGATTACATTTAGTGGATGATGGTGTTTAGTACCGAATGATCAGGGATTACATTTAGTGTATGATGGTGTTTAGTACCGAATGATCAGGGATTACATTTAGTGGATGATGGTGTTTAGTACAGAATGATCAGGGATTACATTTAGTGGATGATGGTGTTTAGTACCGAATAATCAGGGATTACATTTAGTAGATGATGGTGTTTGGTACCGAATGATCAGGGATTACATTTAGTGGATGATGGTGTTTAGTACCGAATGATCAGGGATTACATTTAGTGGATGATGGTGTTTAGTACCGAATAATCAGGGATTACATTTAGTAGATGATGGTGTTTGGTACCGAATAATCAGGGATTACATTTAGTGGATGATGGTGTTTAGTACCGAATGATCAGGGATTACATTTAGAGAGGGAATGGCATTTAGTTGAGGAGTTGCATTTAATTTAGGTAACCTTGTGCAAAATATGGATTGACAACATTAAAGACACTCTACGCCTTCACGGCATGACAATAGCCAATGGCGGCCAACATTCACTGTATCGCAAATTATTCCTCCCTACGACACTTAACGGCAAAAGTGGTTTATGTTGATGATGAACTTTGACTGGGATTTAGATTTAGTAGGGAAATGGTGTTTAGTGCGGGGTAATTTTATCAAATGGATGAGTCTAAACTGGGTTCTGTGAGTACTTTGGCGGAGTCTCCTGACCTCACTCACCTGAGATGTTCCTTTCTGTGTTTCCGAGGCTTCAGGTGTGGTGCCTCTTCCAGTAAAGAAGGGTCTGTAATAAATAAAAATCATTCTCATGAGCCAAGCATTATACAAGTGGTGCCTCTTCCAGTAAAGAAGGGTCTGTAATAAATAAAAATCATTCTCATGAGCCAAGCATTATACAAGTGGTGCCTCTTCCAGCAAAGAAGGGTCTGTAATAAATAAAAATCATTCTCATGAGCCAAGCATTATACAAGTGGTGCCTCTTCCAGCAAAGAAGGGTCTGTAATAAATAAAAATCATTCTCATGAGCCAAGCATTATACAAGTGGTGCCTCTTCCAGCAAAGAAGGGTCTGTAATAAATAAAAATCATTCTCATGAGCCAAGCATTATACAAGTGGTGCCTCTTCCAGCAAAGAAGGGTCTGTAATAAATAAAAATCATTCTCATGAGCCAAGCATTATACAAGTGGTGCCTCTTCCAGCAAAGAAGGGTCTGTAATAAATAAAAATCATTCTCATGAGCCAAGCATTATACAAGTGGTGCCTCTTCCAGCAAAGAAGGGTCTGTAATAAATAAAAATCATTCTCATGAGCCAAGCATTATACAAGTGGTGCCTCTTCCAGCAAAGAAGGGTCTGTAATAAATAAAAATCATTCTCATGAGCCAAGCATTATACAAGTGGTGCCTCTTCCAGCAAAGAAGGGTTTGTAATAAATAAAAATCATTCTCATGAGCCAAGCATTATACAAGTGGTGCCTCTTCCAGCAAAGAAGAGTCTGTAATAAATAAAAATCATTCTCATGAGCCAAGCATTATACAAGTGGTGCCTCTTCCAGTAAAGAAGGGTCTGTAATAAATAAAAATCATTCTCACGAGCCAAGCATTATACAAGTGGTGCCTCTTCCAGTAAAGAAGGGTCTGTAATAAATAAAAATCATTCTCATGAGCCAAACATTATACAAGTGGTGCCTCTTCCAGTAAAGAAATGTCTGTAATAAATAAAAATCATTCTTATCAGCCAAGCATTATACAAGTGGTGCCTCTTCCAGCAAAGAAGGGTCTGTAATAAATAAAAATCATTCTCATGAGCCAAGCATTATACAAGTGGTGCCTCTTCCAGTAAAGAAGGGTCTGTAATAAATAAAAATCATTCTCATGAGCCAAGCTTTATACAAGTAATGTTTTTTTTTTAAACATCAACAAAGGACCCTTTTCCTACCAGAGCTGCAAGAGGCATATGATGCCAGACTCAGATTTGCATAGAACAATCGGAAGCTGAGTAGTAGTGTGGTCAATATCATGTCACTCATCTTTACCTCCCAAGAGAGTATCTGGTATCCATCTTAGGCTGGGTCCACCTGGGAACCAAGGCTAATTTTGAAAAAAAAAATCCACATCAGAAATTGAGCAGTACAGGAATGGTGTGAAAACCAAGTCTGAGAAACCAGATATGGTGCAGAGGTCTTATCTGTCTTATCAGTTCTATCTCTACTAAGAGCTTTAACATCCAACATAGCTTTATCTCAAATGTTAAAGTTATGATAACCTTCTAATCCTACTGATCAGTGTCACTTGCTGTCCAGTATCCTCTTTCTACATCACACGTCCACAGTTTCTACAGTTCAGATGTGTTATGGATATTTAACTTGAACTCAGTGTACCGAAAAGTGATTTAGTTTTGTTATTTTATCACAATTTTAGGACAAGTGGGGAGATTTGGGTATCTGGGCGCGTGGATGGCATCAGATGGAGGATGCATGACTGAGATGGAAGATAGAATAGGACAGGCAAAAACTGCATTTTATAAAATGAAAAACATCTTGTGCATTATATCCTTGTCATTGAGAGTTAGAAAAAGAATTCTTGCTTGCTACGTGCATCCAGTTTTGACATATGGCTGTGAGTCCTGGGCAATCGGTGGGCAGGCCAAACAATTTATGGAGGCCGCGGAGATGTGGTTTTACAGAGGAATGCTTGGAGTGCCTTGGACGGCCAGAGAGAGCAACCGGGAGGTTTTAGAGGAGGCGGGAGCCCGAGGACAACTTATCACAGACATCAGAAGGAGACAGTCATCATTTTTCGGCCATGTTATGAGAAGAGGGAAAATAGAACATGTTGTGACCACTGGAGGGATATGTGGAGGGAGAGATAGTGAAAGACAACGAGAGAAGATGCCTGACAGTCTTGTTGCATCATGGCATGGAGGTGTGTCGGCACACGAACTGATACATGCTGCAGGAGATCGCGGATTATGGAGCGGCATGATCGCCCACACCAGTCGGCAAGGCACCTGATGATGATGATGATTTTATCACAATCAATGTCACTACACATTGGGCATTCTCATGCGTGCTAAGTCCTCCGATGCAGCAATCACTTCAATGTACTTCTATTAATTGTTCCCATAAGAGGTTGGTTATAATGTCTCCTATCTTGGCCTCAAAGGCGGCACAGACGTGCTTCCCCATGCTCTACTCCTATGTCATGTAGTCGTGTTAGTGTCAGAGATTCATCATTATCCACTAGCCCAGTCCATACAGCACTGATGATATCTGCTCTGTCCATGCTTCCTCCTACATACGTTGATACATTGCTTGCCAGTTGGTCCGCTGGCTCATTACCCTTTAGGCCAGCACGACCAGGTGTGTAGATCCACGTGAGGGAAGTTAAGTGTGATTTTTTAATGCTTTCTACCCATTCAGAGCGCATATCGCCTGTTGCTATCTTTCGAAGCACATTCATGGAGTGTGATAAAATTACTGCCTTTGTGGATGTTTGCTCTGCTGCCCATGCTAGTGCTATCTCCATGGTCATGCTTGACGTATTTGCCCTGTAAGCACTGATGTCCTCTTGTATTGTTTTCCCCATTATTTATCAATTACTAACAAACTACAAACATTCATTAACTGGTGCTGCGCAGAATAGAAGGAATTAAATGGTATGATAGAATAACTAGTGTACAGCTTTGGGAGAGAACTAAACAGGCTCTGGTGGACCAAGAGGTGAGGAAAAGACGCTGGCGTTGGATAGGACACACACTGAGAAAACAGGAGAACAGCATAACTAGAATGTCTTTGCATTGGAACCCACAGGGGCATAGGAATAAAGGAAGGCCAAAAAACACATGGAGAAGAGAGCTGGAGAATGAAGTTAGAAAGATGGGGAGGACATGGGGAGAGCTCCATGCAATGGCGAAGGATAGAACGACTTGGCGTGAGTTGGTTGAGGGCCTATGCTCCATTGGGGGATAGAAAGTCAGAAGAAGATCCCATGCTGACCTTGATCCGTGCTTCACGGATCCATCTGTGTAGATAAGTGACTCTGTGTATTCTGTCTGTAACTGTTACTGAAAATGTCTGTTTTATAAGCTGTCTGTCTGATTTGATATGTGGTATAGGAATTGTGGACAATTAACCAACTGTTTTACAAATTAGATAGTGTAGGAATGGTACGAGGTATAAATTCCAATGTGCTGTGTGATATGAGAAACAAATAATTTGGTGATGCTGTGAGAAATGGACAAGTTTCAAATGGTAAGTTAACCTTAATTTAGGCTTGGGTGTAGACATGACGCTCAAGGTGTCAAGGTCAGGTCCGCTGTCAGAATCCTCCAGTTCATCAAACAGGTCGTCCAACTCTTGGGGGTTCGGTATGTGATCGTGGTCAGGCTCAGAGTCCAACGTGGTCAACACCTGGAAGAGCATGTGAGTTCAAACATGATTTTCACATCTTTGCAGTGATTGACTGATCTAACAGCTGATCTAACAGCTGATCTAACAAGTGAAGTGAAGATTGTTTAACAAGATGCTGCCTAAACAAATCAAGCAGCTGAAGTTTGGAGACATTTAACTCTTTTAGTCTCACCCGTGTTTCTTTAAATCATTACTTGCTAAGTAACAGTTGCCCCTGTTACCCCAGAAATGCTTAAAAAGGGGTCATGAACCCATGTGAATCCCCCCCCCCCCCCCCCCACAATTTTTTATTTCAACATAAAAATAATACAATTTCACGCAGGTTACTAACAAATATTTTTTTTGTATGTATTTGTATTAATTAAAAAAATTTACAAACAAAAAAAATTTTTTTTTTAATTAAGAAATTAAAATATACAAACATATAAATGTATAGGGAGTTATCAATAAATGTTAACTATTAACAGAGTGAAGAATTAAATGAAATACCCTGATGACTACAGAGAAAATCTAGTTCACAAGACAACCCCACCCACTTTTCCCCTCCGATTCCCCCCCCCCCCCCCCCCCAAATCAATGTGCTGCCAATAGGATAAATCATGTGAAATACATTTACAGTGACTGTTGATGTACTCCTGGCTGAATGTTTAGAACACTGGGCTCTCAGGCTGAAGACCCAAGTTCAAATTCCTGGTAAGGTTGGGGATTTGTTTCTGTCCTGGGCAAAAATAGAATCCATGCCTGCACAGTTTGTGGCAACAGCACTAGCCATGCAGCCCTAACTCCTCAGACGCAAAGGTCCCCTCTGCCTACACCACAAAAATGGTAAATACAGGCAGCAATTTAATATATTTTTTTCTGTAGTATGACCTGAAAGCCTTGTATATTTGACACGGTTACTTGTCTGTTCTCTAAAGAACAGAGTTCATAGTCACCATATCATTCAATAACAAACATGTGTCGTGTTAAGAAACTAAGAAACAGGCTTATAAAAAGACTGCAGCACTTACGGATATGTCTGATCTACAGTGATGATCTTAAAATGAAAAATGAGCAATCAATAAAGAAGAAAACAGATTCAGTTAAAACTCTTTTATAAACCAAAGACAATTTTTTGGCTACAGATCCTACCCTTTGATGTTTAAGAAGAAAGAAATGCTAGCCCAAAACAGTTTTAACATACAAATGGAGACTTACATCTTCAGAAATCTTGAACCTCTTCAACAGAGCTCGAAACTTCTGCTTGATGTTCCCTTGCTGCAGATAGAAGCAGACAAATATGTTTCAATCTCATGAGCTTCTTGTCAGACGCCGTTATAAAAATTAGTAAATAAAAGCAGTATGCAAAATATAACTACGTGTGAAATGCGATGTCTCCGAAGAGTCACCAACAATACACGAAGAGACAGAGTCACAAACATCAGCATTAGAGACAAAGTTGGAACAAGATCATGCATGAAACATATTGAAAGACAGAGAATTAAGTGGTTTGGCCATTTAGTAAGAATGCAACCGAATCAGATTGCCTATAAAGCCTTTTACAGTAGAACATCGGGAAGAGAGGCCAGAGGAAGACCCAGGAAAAAATGGATAGATGGAGTAGCTGAATACGGCCAGAAGATCCAGAAAACTGTCACTCAAATCACGCGAGAGGCACAAAACAAATATTTTAAACCACGACACTGGGCTGCAACCCGGTAAAAGTGAAGAAGACAATAGATAGATAGATAGAAAGCAGTAAAGAGAAATGACATATCAGACAAAACATAGAGGACTGTGTGGAGACCTTAGCTCCCAGTTTGACTAAGCCTTAATTGGGTACTAGAATATGTTTTGGGAAGAAAAGATGGCTGGTGTGATGATGACCACATATCCCATCACTGTTGACTGGTCTATAAAGAAAATATGATTAACAACAAATGACTGATGGGACACAGGTGTCAAAATGGTCCTTTATTTTACGAACAGCTCTTTTCATGCCACTATAAATGTGTTCTTACCATAAAGGACTGCTAGTTGCAGAACTTTAGCAAATGATCATGAATATGTGGAACAGTAACAGAAATTGAGCACGCTATCATAACATGTGTAACAATCCCAGAACTTTAGCACATTATCATGAACATATAGAACAGTCACAGAACTTTAGTCAATGATCAGGAACAAATAGAAAAGTCACGGAACTTTAGCCAACGATTACGAACAAACAGAACAGTTATAGAATTATAGCCAATAATCATGAACAAAAAGAAAAGTCACGGAACTTTAGCCAAGGATTGTGAACAAATAGAAAAGTCATCGAACTTTGGCCAATGATCATGAACATGTGGAACAGTCACAGAACTTTAGCACATTATCATGAGCATACAGAACAGTCATAGAACTTTAGCCAACGATCATGAACAAGTAGAACAATCAGAGAACTTTAGCAAATGATCATCAACATATGGAACAGTCACAGAACTTTAGCCCATTATCATAAACAAATAGAAAAATCATAGAACTGTAGCCAACGATCATGAACATATAGAACAGTTATAGATATTTAGCCAACGATACGAAAAAATAGAATAGTCATTTAATTTTTAGCAAATGTTTTTGGACATAAAGACAAGTTAAAGAAGATTAGTAAGCAATCAAGAACGCATGCAGCAGTCCCAAAACCTTAATAAACAATAGAAAACACCTGATACAAGATGACTTACAGTTGCCACTGGTCGGGACTTGGACCGGCTGTGTTTCCTCTGCCTGGCTCTAATGTTATGTTCTGTCATGGTAGGCTCACTGTCGCTCATGTCTTCATTAGATGAATAGTCGTTATAGTCGAGAGGTATGTCGTCTTCATCACTGTCGTTATCAATGTCCGGGGATCGCTCTGAAACAGATGACAGAAAGAAAGCTCAGTTAAAAACTATGATCAAACAATTGTCTTACTGTGTTATAACACTGGGGTCAGGATGGTACAGTGGTCATTACATTCTACCTCTTCCTGTAGCACCTTCTATTTCTGCTGGGTTTTTTTCCCTCCATTTTCCTGCTTTGTCTTCTACTTCCTACTGCTTGTTGTTGTTGTTCTTCTTCTTCTTATTTTTCTTTCCCTTCTTCTTCTTCTTCTTTTTTTCTTCTTTTTCTTTTTCTTTTTCTTCTTCTTCTTCTTCTACTTCTTCTTCTTCTTCTTCTTCTTCTTTTCTTCTTCTTCTTCTTCTTCTTCTTCTACTTCTTCTTCTTCTACTTCTTCTCCTTCTTCTTTTTCTTCTTCTACTTCTTTGTTTCTTCTTTTTCTTTTACTTCTTCTTCTTCTTTTTCTTCTTCTACTTCTTTTTTTCTTTCTTTCTTCTTCTTCTTCTTCTTCTTCTTCTTCTTCTTCTTCTTCTTCTTCTTCTTCTTCTTCTTCTTCATTCATTCATTCACACTCAGACTTCCTTGTTATTATCTGTAATTAAAGCAGTAATAAGTTTCTGCTTCACTAGACCACTTTGCTGAGTGAGTCAATGGTTTTAGAAGTTGGATGAGGTCTACTCCTGTGTTCTTCATACTGACACCATACTTCCAAGCCACTACAATCTGCTATTTCTAAATCTTCTTTGTCTTCTTCTTCTGAGATCACCCTTAGAAGAGTAGTTGGGAAGTTGTGGTTTACAACTAAGTTGTGATTGTTGTATTCTTCAGCCCATCATATCCAATTCCAGAAATCTCCAATTAGTTGCCTTATTTGTAATGTAAACAAAAACAAAAAAAACAGCTCAGACGTTGGGAAAATTGGAGGGAAAAAGAGACAGAGGAAACAGAGAGAGAAGATGCTGAACAGTTTAATATCTGGGCATGGAAAATTCTCTGTATCAAAATTAACTGAAAGTACACAAGACAGAGGGTTGTGAATAGACATGACTATCTACGCTACATGATATGGCTATAAGAAAAAGAGGGGTCCCCGGATCCTAAATTGGAGATAGTTTAAAACAAATAACAGTAAATATAATGTTTTTAGCAAAAGAAATATCGAATAACAAATGAAATGATAGTACACTTGGGACCAGCTGGAGGCAACGACTCCTAGACCTTATCAATCAATCCTGGGCCCAGGGTCTTCTTCCTAAGGAATAGAAGAAGGCAGAAATAGTCCCCACAGCCAAGAAAGGAAAGCCCAAGGAAAACAAATCAAGTTGCCGCCCCATAAGCTCCCCAAGCTGCCGTGAAAAGACCATGGAAAGATTAGTGAACAACAGGTTACTTAATTTTCTAGAAGAAAACATCACAGCCAATCAGGCTTCAGGAGATACAGAAGCACTGATGACCAAACCTCTTATCTCGCACAGCAAAACAAACATGCAGGATTACATTTGAAGAGACATGTTTCAAAGGGAAGCAGTAGTTGTACTCACCAACATCAGAGGATACCAGCTTCCGATGACCATTGATCTCATGGTCAACTGGCTGGCTGGTCAGTCCAAACAACACCAAGATGGCCACTGGGTTGGTCGGCTCTTTAACATCACTGTACAAATTTAGTTCTCTGTCTATGGAACACTGAAGTACCTATAAAGGCAATCAAAATGTTTGGCACTTAGGCAAAGTAATGAACACAGGAAAGAAAACATAGCAATGTAATGAACACAGGCAAGAAAACTTAGCAATGTAATGAACACAGGAAAGAAAACAGCAATGTAATGAACACAGGAAAGAAAACATAGCAATGTAATGAACACAGGAAAGAAAACTTAGCAATGTAATGAACACAGGAAAGAAAAAATACAGGTTTACATTCTAAAAGTATTAGGTTTTACAGTACAGACAGACAAATATGGCAACATAATGAATACAGATTTATCACTAACATCAGAAGAGAACAGTCATCATGTTTTCGTCTTGTTCTGAGAGGAGGGTAACTGGAGGATGTTGTGACAACTGGAAAGATTTGTGGAGAGGAGGGTAACTGGAGGATGTTGTGACAACTGGAAAGATTTGTGGAGAGATAGAGGAAGACAATATGAGAAAATCTTGACAGCCATTTGTCATTACATGCAGTGGTGTTAACACCTGAACTGATACATGCTATTGTGGATCACTGGTTGTGGAGAGGCATGGTCGCCAGCACCAGATGGTCTGGCACTTGACAATGAATGTGTACAGAAAGAAAAGTATACATATATCGTTTCTAAACTCTTTCGGTAACAAACCATACATTCTGTGATTCTTAATCACTCCAGAGATAATATAATTGTCCTCTGTTACAGACAGATGTTTTGTAAACCCTTTCAGTAACAAACCACACATTCTGTGTTTCTTAATCACTCCAGAGATATTATAATTGTCCTCTGTTACAGACAGACGTTTTTTAAACCCTTTGTATGTGCATGGTTAGTTTAACTAGCTCTGTCAAATATACTGTTTCTGGCAAACTCAATCAGACTATTAATGTATTGTTTTTAACCCTATCTCCTTGAGACATAAGAAGTTAAAGTAACAGCTACTTAACTTATGACTCAAAGAGTTTTGACTCAAAAAGTTTAGTTCCATATTATACATGAAATACAACAGCTTAGTCAGTGTTTCTCAACCTTTGCACACCTGAGGCCCACCAAAAACAGCAGAACTTGTTTCTGACAGCTAACCAAACAGGAAACAAAAACAATTTTAGACAGCAGTTTGTCTGTTAAATGTTTAGTTTAGTTTTAGTTTTTCCTTCCACGTATGCCACTAAGCGTTGTGGGGAGATGCAAGTTCCTGTCATAAGCAAGGCGGGCAGCATCTGATGTTCTGAGGCCATGCTTTTGGCAGGTTTCGGAGACCCCGTCAATCCACCGTTTCCTTGGTCTTCCTCTTGCCTTATATCCTGAGCTTCTTTGGTTGAAAATTTGTGATGTTATTTGATCATTTTTCATCCTGGTTAGATGTCCAAACCATTTCATTCTTTGATGTTCTATGTAGTCTAAACATGGCGTAGTTTTGACAGTGTTTCTAATGTCTATATTCTTTATCCTGTCTAGTCTGGTCTTGTTCGCTGCTTTTCTTAGACATTTTCATTTCACAGGCTTCTATTTTTCTTTCATGGGTCTTGTTGATTGTCCATGTTTGGCACTGGTAGCAGAGTGTTGGAATGAAGATGGTGTTTATCAATTGTCTTTTGGTCTTCATGGTTATATCTGGATGTTTAAGCAGAGGTGATAGTTGGTATGTGACAGCATTTGCTTTCTGTATTCTTGTTTCTATCTCTCTGTCCATTCTTCCATCCTCTGTAAATATACTGCCCAAGTATTTGAACTCTGTTAAATGTGATGTCCCAAAATTACAGTTTTCAGCTAATGTGACATCTGCTGCTAAAATGTGACAAATGTGGCTGGAGCACTGTTTCTGATATATGAAGCAATACAAAAACATTCACTTGATTTCTCCATTTGTTGTTAGTCTTTTCACACAAAAAGAAAGCTACCAGAGGTGTTAATCCTACACCCTGAAAGAGAGGAACCACCAACGCTACCTAGTAACATAACAGAGCAGAATGTTTTTGGGTGGCTCATAGTGACATTTTCGCAGCCCACCAGTGGTCTGTGGTCCATCTGACAAAGAAGACTGATCTCGGCAACATCATGAATTGAGACAAATAAACTATTTGTCCTTTCTTTTTTTTTTAAGGAGAAGGGGGAAGGCAGAGGATTAGAGGGGTACAGATAGACAGAAAGAATCTCGGCACTCTTCCGAATACCGGTCCCAAATTATTCACCGTTAACAAATACTATTCAGGGCCTCACGAGGTCATTTTTTAACCCTTAACAGGGCGGTTGGCATGTTGTGTTGTGGTTTACAGCTAGACTGCGAAATATGCACCTTTCGCTTGTTCTTGTGGTTCACAGCTAGGCTGCGATAGCGGCGGCGAGATGCTCAATGATAATGTCACGGGGTAGGTAAACTTCGTTCTTTTCGTTCGCCCTTGAAAGAATGATTCTCACGTTGTGTTGTGGTTTACAGCTAGGCTGCGATATCTGCGCCCTTTGCCCCAAAGCATCCGATTTCAGCAGTCCTAATTAGTCGCCTTTTACAACTTTTATGTGGCAGTGGATCTATTTTTTCTTTCCCCTAAAATATTTGGCCCTGGACACCCGCAAGGACAGTAATGGGTAATGTAAACAATGGATCAAAAATCATTCACGTCGCTTCGATGGATGGAACTCTACTCCTCCCCAAGACGTTTAAACAATGGATCTAAATCTATTCTTTTCCGTGTCGCTTCAATGGATCGAAAACGATTCCTCCCCACGGCGCTTAACTTAACGTCTAAACATTGATATCCAGCGAGCAATAACGGCACAAGTGGAAACTGATCATGATGGCCTTAACGGTTTTACTACATAACCTCCTGAGGGATGTTTTTCGGCAGTGAATAATTTGGGACCGGTTTTCGGAAGAGTGCCAAGAATCTCACATCACAGACTCTGTATCCATATGTACCAGCAAAAAGTACAAGTAGAGGACCTTTTTTCTCGCCTTCAGGAGTATTGGGCATATAGGGCTAGACCTGTAATTTATAGACCAAATGGCCTTTGGTGGGTGATGTGGCCAGCATCATGCCAGTCGCCTTTACTTTCCAGGACTGTCTCTAGTAACCACTCAAGACAGAGTCGACCCATCAGGATTCGAACCCACGACCTTTCCGGTCCGCAGGCGAGCATCTAGCCTGCTAGAACAGGGTGGCTCCCCATATGTACCAGACATTCAAGAATGAGGGGGCCAAAACTGTCCCAGTGTGGACAGACTACTCCAAGAACACTCAAACATCTGCTGCAGACATGCTCTCTACATGCAGCAGGGGGGGATCCCAGGTCTGGCATGTAGTTAACCAAGATGTCTGCATCTGTGGAGAACTGATCAGTGAAGGTAACCAAGATGTCTGCATCTGTGGAGAACTGATCAGTGAAGGTAACCAAGATGTCTGCATCTGTGGAGAACTGATCAGTGAAGGTAACCAAGATGTCTGCATCTGTGGAGAACTGATCAGTGAAGGTAACCAAGATGTCTGCATCTGTGGAGAACTGATCAGTGAAGGTAACCAAGATGTCTGCATCTGTGGAGAACTGATCAGTGAAGGTAACCAAGATGTCTGCATCTGTGGAGAATTGATCAGTGAAGGTAACCAAGATGTCTGCATCTGTGGAGAACTGATCAGTGAAGGCACCACAACCTTCAGACAGAGAGGCCTGAGAGGCCTGCTCCTCTGAGAATCACTGGAAGGGAAAATGAAAAGAATCAGAAGTGTGGCTTTTAAAAATTGTGACATAAATTTCCTTAAAAAAAAAAAATTCCACTCGGTGGATTTTAGTTAGATTTATTGCTAGAGTCAGAGTTAGAACCCTTCCTTCGAAGTTAAAGTGCCTCAGCTTGAGAGGCCTGGAACCAAGAGCCTGCATTAAAAAAAACCCACATCTGTAGAATGTATTTGCAAGCAAAACTCAAGATCTAGAACAAGACTTAAGACCAGAAGTGGACGAACAACTAGAAAATTCCACTACAGTTTACAGCTGGTGAAGGGGACAAATAAGAAGAAGGAGGGGGAGGAGGAGGAAAAGAAAAAGAAGCGGTAGAACCTGTAGCACAGAGCCACTGTGACCCACATAAACAAACAAGACATGCGAAGACACGAGCAGCAGCTACCACATCTCCTTCAGCTTCCTTCATTTTATTTGCTCGTGAGTCCCAGCCATCAAGTTTAGCCGCGCGTAACGGCGTGGGAGATAAACTCAGCGGTGGCGGTTGTCGCCGGAAGTTCGCAATTGACATGTGACTGAGGTCCTGATAGGGTACATTTTCGGCCTCGATAATTTGGGACCGTTATTCGGAGGACAGCCCCCAAAACTTTCCACCGGAGTTCACAGTCGGTGAACGCGAAGAAGAAGAGATAAACATAATTTCGTGACAGAGTGATTCAGTCAACAAGCAAACCTGAGGTTAAACTAACCCCTTATAAATTATACAGATTATAATAACGAAATGTGTCACAAGACAACCTATCTCTTGAAAACTGTTCTTTAATATTTAAAATATAAATTTTTTTTCCAAGACTAATGTGACTAACACTACTTATGAGTAACAATAACAAAACAAACTGAATAGTGTCAAATGAATAACACCAGTTCGTGGGACACGCGTTTACAATGTAAAAGTAAAAAGTAAAGTAAAGATCCCTTTCAACGTCTTTAGGCGTATCGGGAATATGGGAAGAGCGCCCATATTTTTACAGACCATCAGCACTCGATGGTCAGCATTACGCCGGCTGTCTTTACTTTCCCAGGACAGCCCATCCTGGTACCCATTTAAGGCTGGGTCGACCTGCGACGCCCCGTACCATGATAAAAATCCACGCAGCCAGCAGTGGGTTTCGATCACGTAACGCTGGCTTACGAGTCGGACTCGCAACACCTAAGCCACGGACGCCGCGTTCACAATGTAGCAGACACATAAAAGTGTCACGACACACAGTTTGGAAAGCTCTGGGACAGACAACCGCAGACACTTTACCCACTTTTAAACAGACAAACACATCT